TATGCCATAGCTATGCATGAATACACACTAGACAAACGCAGCCAAGGTGAATACATCTCAATTTTCAGTCAAGTAATGAATACACAAGTTAATGAAACAATTATATTTTATTTACTGACAACAGGAAACATTAATAAATTAGTAAAATAATAAGTCAAATAACCATGACAATAAATAAATACAAGTCATCAACACATGAAACAAAGCTTTATTCAAACATACTGTTCTAACAATCATGTATTTACAGACGGTGAGTCCACATCCTACTGCCATCTCAACACAGCTGAGACAGTTCTGCAGCTTTATTCTGATGAAGCAGCTGACCACTGTGTCCACCTTCACCTGTCTCTGCTGTCCATCATGACCCTCACTGCTGCAGTCAGACTGAATCTGATCATGGATGGGAAAGGGGCATCGAGACTATTGTCTGAGTGCACAGAGAGGATGAGGCCCCCCGTACCACACAATCTTGAAGCGAGAGCAGGAGAACACATGCAGGACAATCTGGCTGCTGCTGTGTCTGCTCCAAACATTTGTGTGCCTGCTCTCCATGAGCACGACTACATTTACACAGAGTAAAACATTTTACAATTAATGTTGTCAGCATTTCATTTTATATCAGCATATCTTCTGTGGTGTAGTGGGCTAAAGTACTGCACTGGTTAGCAGAAGGTTGCTGGTTTGATCTCTGCAGTCGTCACCACCGCTGTGTCCTTCAGCAATGCTCCAGGTGGCTGCTGGGGGATTGGGGGTTCCTGTAATAAAAGCACTGTAAGTCACTTCAGATAAAAATATCTGATAAATCAGTAAATGTGATTTTTGTAAATCCTTTTTTGTGTCTTGAGTACAAACGCTCAATAAAGCTGCTTATTTCTTAAAGTTTATTTTTTCAAGGTACTACTGTTACTTTTTGGGGGGTTTAAAGGGTTAGTTCATCCAAACATATAAATTCAATCATTATTTACTTGTCTCCACACTCTTCAATCCTTGGGGTATTTATTTTTTTCTGAACACAAAAGGTGATTTTTGTCAAGTTTGTCCTGCTGGTTTCTGTTCATACAATATCAGTCGATGGGAGACTGACTTTCAGAAGCTTCATGACATTATTTGATGATGCTTTTGAAGCTTCTGAAACTCGGGCTCCATTGACTGATGTTGTATGAACAAAACTTGACCAAACTCACATCCTCAGTGTCTTTGGTCTTTCTCTAGATGCTCTCGCTGGCTCTGGGGTCACTGAGGATGAAGAGACCACAGCAACATCCGGTCCTGATGAGACATGTGGACTTCTCCATCCTCACTGCTCACCACTCTGCAGACATTACAGATCCTACAAAAATGCACAAACACAATACAAAAGCAGTCATTTTAACAGCACAATGTCATTTCATTTCTGTAATAGAAGTAACAGAATGATCTTACTTTATATTTTTGTTTTAGGGTTTCCCTTTTTTTCCCACAAATGCCGCCATCACCTTTCCTTGCAGGTCCTGCTCCACCACAACAGCTCTGCAGCAAATGCACAGGAGTCAAGAATCAGAAAAGTGCTGATAACTCAGTTTGAAATTACAATAATTAAAATAAACTACAACTTAATTTTAAGATTTAAAAAGAGGTTTTATTAATTTCTGTAGTATACTCACTCAAAGTCTTTGATGGCAGCATTCCGCTTTCTGGTGAAGAGGGCTTCATTAGCCGCTCTCGTCTCCGCCGGATAAGCAGACGTGTGTGCTCATCTGTCCCTGTAACATCCAGACAAGAGTCAAGTTACCTCTGAGATTTGTGTGCTCAAAACTACATTTACATTCTGAGGTAGTTGATGATGTGTTAAGTAGCTTTTTATCCAACACAAATGTTCCTCAGTTTTTCAACAGTACTAATGGACAAATAAAATAGATTACTTATATTTAGTTACTTTACTTACATTCATCTATTGCAAACAGTGCTGACAACGGAGAATTGTACTACACAATAACACACATATACATCACTCAGATGTCTACTTCATATCTAGGACCTATTAGACATACTTCTATGAAATTCATATAGAAGATTTTCCTACCAGATATTAAATAGACATTTAGTAATCATATTTAAGATGTATATGGTTTAAAATGTATGTAAATCTACTTTGGAGATGTACGTGTGCTTCCTGGAGCCCCGTTAGCTATACATAATAAAACATGTTTATACAGCAACATCACATCTATACTATACCATTTAGCGTCTTTACACTTTCAACAATTTGCTCTAAAGTAGTTCAACAAAGGCTAATTTAAAATAAGGAACCGTGTTTTTTGTAATGCAATACATACATTTGTAAACACCCTCATCCACATTTCCCGCCATGTTCGATTATGGCGCATTCTCTTCTTCTTTATGATGTATCCTCTCGCGTGGCCACCTGGGATAGAAAAGTATCCATCGTCGAGCACTCAAGAAGCTGGGCAGAAGCAGTAGGACATCTGGGAACTTCTCGACTACTCTTTTATGAACACTGAGGTTCCGGACATACTTATACGCTCGGCTACTGCTTTTCCCCTACTATATAGTAGAGAAGTAAGCGGTTTCGGACGCATTTTAAGAAGTCGCGGTTGTCCGAATCTCTCGAGAATTAATACGTCCCCAAGTAATTCTCGACTACTCTTTTATGAATACTAAGGATTCGGACATACTTATTTGCTCGCCTACTGCTTTTCGCCTACTATATAGTAGAGAAGTAGGCGGTTTCGGACACAGCCAAACTTGCATGTCATCCCGGACTACATATCCCATCATCCATTGCACTGATTGCACACAGCTGTAACCATTCAAACACTCACTATATTACCCCCATTCAGATCCTTTTCAAACTGCCGAGTATTGTTTAGCACTTATCACTGTTCGTTGCTAGCTACTTTACGGAGCCTGTTTATTGATTTCCTGTTTCATAGTCTAGCCTAGTCCTTTCATAGTTTTGCCTTGCCTGTTTTCCCGTGTTTAGATTATTGCCTTGTACCTGGATTATCTCTCTAGTCTCACCCTGTTGGATTACGTTCGTCATCGACTGACCCTCACTTGTTTACCGGACAGCTCTTGCCTTGTCTTCTACATACCAGTTTGCCATTATCTGACCTATGCCTGTTTCTGACCACGTCTTTTATTAAAAGCTTTGCAAATGGATCCGCTCATCTCACATCTCTGTCGCCCCATAACAGAATGCCTACATCAAACTGTAAATTGAATGCGAATATGAAAGCAGTGAATTCAGTGAACATTGTTTGAAGTCAGTTTATATAAAGTATATACAGTATATATATAACAACAGGATATATTATTCTATAATATAAGATATCATATATCATATAATATCATATGAGGCATGAATATAATTTCACATATGTAAACACATAATTAAACACGCAACATGTGCTTTATGTTATGCATTTTCAAAATATATTTCAATATATTTAAGTGTTTCACATATATGTGAATATATTCAATTCAATTAAATTCAATTCAAGTTTATTTGTACAGTGCTTTTCACCATACAAATCATTGCAAAGCAACTTTACAGCAAATTAAGTTTCTACAATATTTAGTGGTAGTTTATCAGTGGTGACTAAGTTAATGTACATATGGCAGAAATGTATGGAAAAATCAATTAAAGACGTAATCAAACAGACGATGAACACTATTAACAGCAATTATTATATGATGCAATCAAACTTATAGCAAAATGTGGTAGTTCTGTATGTTGTTTCAGGGTTGGCATCATCTGAGGTCCTCTGAGGGGTTGGCATCATCTCTTCTCAGGTGTTCTGGATCCAGACTGAAGCTTGTGACATCCCGTGGCAAAAACAGAGAAACAAATAGAGACATAATTAGCGTAGCTGCTGTTCCAACCAAGCAAAATTGATTTGCTTAACTCAAACTAAAGAATAATAATGTGCATTTGATCAGATATAACTGCAGTACAAGATTATGAGATGCATTATTTGAATGCTTGGCCAAAGAGATGTGTCTTTAATCTAGATTTAAATAGATATTACCTTTCTGTATGGGAAAACATTGGGATTTTACTCAAAAATATTTGAAATGGATTTTAAATGTGGGTCAAGATCGGCCATACTTATGTGGCCCACATATCTATATTTGACATCTGGGCCAAATACTACATTTGACATCTAGCCCATGTCTTGTGTGTCGTTTTAAAACCCTCATGTGGTGTTCGAGGTCTTTTTTGCTCTGAAAAAAATACTAGTTAATGTTATCGCATTGGACTGAAATTTTGTGACTTTGTTCACAGAGGGTATAATTACTTCTAAAAAAGATTTCGATCATTTTCATACTTTTCTCGGGGAGATTTTTCACCTTGTTACACTTGTGATGTTCCCAGTCAAAAATGACCCGGCCTCAAAAAATTGCTTATAAATCACTCATTATGCTATATTATCAACAAATATTGGATTCAATCTTTTTGTCAACTTCTTTTCTTTCATTTAGGACTGGTTTTGTATTTATATTTGCTTCTGATTAATCGTAGGCCTCATTTATCTGAGAGTAGGCACCTCATTTTTCCAGTGAAAAAAGTATTATTTATGAATAATTTTCACAATATTAAATAGAAACTGATGAAAATTTGCACTGTTTATTGCACTAGCGTACTTTAAGGTTTAATAAGGAAGTTTGCTTTTAAATGCTTTTATTTTGTACAAAATGGCACAAAGTCACACTTGTGGTGTTCCCGGTCAAAAATGTCCAGCCATTCAAAGTGAATGGGAAAGAATGAAAGTAAT